GGTGTGGATTTTGATGCGAGCTTCAGTGGGAACAAACAGCGTTCTATGACTTACTATGCCGGGAATGGGACAAAATTTGTGTTCAATCGTTTGGATGAAAACCCAGCCGAAGACGGGTTCGATCTCTACGCCAAACCACTTTTTCAGGTAATTTTTATTACTTTTAGAGATTCTCATTTCTTTTTTTCCACGAAGGAAAATGATTTCTGATTGGGTAGAATGTCTTTCTGCTTCGAACGTTATATTTATTTTTCAGACAGTCCATATTTAACAGTGCAACATTTAATATTTTTGGAAAAAACGCCTTACAATTTAGACAACTTCTTTGCAAAGTAGACAAATCTTTGTAATTTTATTTCTGCTGTTTCTGGTATTGAAGGTTGATCACCTGAAATGTCAAATGGTGAGCAAGAATTTGCCAAATTAAATCATGTAAAATATGTTTCTTGAGTAATTGGAAGTAGACTAGCTGTACGATTTTATTGCTCGGCTTTCCTTGCGCAATTATTCGTAGAATTTTACTGAAATCACTTCTGGTCTCTATATAGATAACTTTTTTTTACTGACAGATCTTCCGAAACATTCCGTATATTTTTTTCGATTTTGATTGAATAACTTATGATGAAAACTTTATATTTTGCAGCGATATAATTTTATTTTCGTTGCCTTTTACAGGCTGCGTATGGAACTCAGTGGTTTGTCCACTGTCTGTACACGATTCGATCTACTTCAGACAAACCCCCAGTTTCCCCCCAATCTATCAACAGAGACAAACGTTCTGCAAATTCGGATTTTCCAGAAGAAGACAGTGACATATATGACTATCATCACGCTGTTTTCGATCCTCTTCACAACGAGGATCTGTCCAGAGTGCGACGATCTCTGGAGCACACGAGACACGCCGAATCATCTGATCGTCGGGACTCGAATAAGCAAACCAGGCGACGGAAAAACAAGACGAAATTCAGGGACAAATCATCTGTTTCAGCATCAGATCTGCATAATATCGGTGTCGGTGGTCGAGGCACAAATATGCGTCGTGTTCCATTAGCATCTGTTGAACCCGGTTCGACGCCAGAGGAACCAGAAACGGCGCAAACCATCAACACGGTGCCGCGATTTGAAATGGATCCCGTGGTGCTGAGCTCGTACGTGGCACCGTGGGCAGTAGTCGCGACATCTGCCGCATTGCTGATGTTACTTTTCGCAGCCATAGCTGGTATTGCAGCTTGGTGTCGCTCCAGGTCATCAGTGCGAACTGAGCGACGCGCAGTGACCATAAGCGTGCCACACGGAAATTCGCGAGTGATCGTCAGCAACGCCTTGCCGCAAATGTACGGCGAGACGTCAGAAGTGTGATTCCCAATTTGAAATCCTCGCTTTTTTTTTTGCAGCGATGATGATGATGATGCGTGAAAGATTTCAAAGAATCTCTGTCAAGGTTGCATTCAGGAAATCTACCGTGCCATTTATGCACCTCCTGACTCGAAAGCAAAATCGGGTGTTTTTTTCTGTTTTCGGAGATTTCGCGTGTACGTTTTTACTCACACGCATTTTCTTTGTTATTTTCGAAGGAGCTTTTGTGAAGTTTGATTCTTCAGGCAGGAGTGATTGCGAATTTTTTCTACTGAGCAGCCGTTTGTGTTGAAATTTTGTCAATAAAGTGTGATTGATCGTGATTCTAGCGGAAGTACTCTATATTTTTTTCACTGCTTCGTACTTTCAGCAGATTTCCAATTGCCATGAAAGTTGATGTATGGCACGTCAAGTTTTGGTTACTCACCCAAATTGCATTTCGATCGGCTTTAAGCATCAGATATTAGCGAAACAGAAACTATTTCTTAAATTGACGCTTGCTTAGGTTTTCAATCCATATATGATTAATTTATCAATCCGTAATTTTTTTTCAAGCAGCTGAATGAGAGAACAACTAGTTTAAGAGAATGCAGTTATTTCGAAAGACTCTTGGTACTTCTCACAGTACAGCTGTACTATAGAAATATTCACAGTACTGTATTTTCTTGGGGATAGTGAAACCTGGATTACCGTAATAAAATTCAGAGTGCACTTTTCCGAATAATTGAGTATCGTTCGTTTTGCAAAAGATAAATGATGAATTGTGAATTATGAAAAATAGACGTTCACAGTCATCAAAAAATTTTGACATGACAGTATACAGAGTTTCAATCCTGCCATTTCTTCAGCTTCCTTCTGCCTAATATGTTTTTAAAAATATTTTAAATGAATTTTATGGACAATTTCAGGCTGCTTTGGAATAAATGAACTGGTGACCATTTAAGTTATGTTGCTCACCCCGTTTCCTCTGATCAGCTTGACATTTGAGCAAAAGTAGCAAATAAAAACTAGGATGGTCGAAGTTCTGCTGCACTTTCTATCAATTGATTTCTAGCACAAAGGAACTCAGTCTTACAGCTCGTATAATAATTATTTGTATTTGGGAGTATTTTTCGTCTTCGTTTTCGATATGCTCAAGACTGCCAGGGGACATTGAAGGGCCTTGCTCAATCAATGTGTCTCTCAGATTTATCTCAAGACACACTTACATTTCCTGATAACACGCGAACGACTTTCTTTTTTCGATCATTCGTTTCTTACTTTTCATTCGTTTCTTCTTCTCGCATTTCGGCTGTTATAGGCTCGACATTTATTCAAGCAGGGGATTTTGTGACGTACGGAACTTGATTGATAGCTTTTTGGGATCAAGTGGACTTCTCGACATTTTACATTTCTATAGAAAGTGGGAAAAAAACGCATCGATTAAACCCACTGCTGGTGAACCATGGAATCTCGGTGCAAAACTTGCAGAGGAACCGGACGGTTGCCAACATTGAGGGCACGGGCAGGGGAAAGCATTCAGACGAATTTCAATTCTCGTCAGAGCAAATTCCCTGGTGTATCTTTCATCCCGGTGCATGTGAGATTTTTCTCTTGAAAATTTTCAACATATAGATAATTTAAAGAACTTGGCGATGCATTCCTTTCAGGAGAACTATACTTTTGAGACATATATTCCTGTAAATTTTTAGAGAAAAAATTACCTGTACCAGATAGTAATACAGTACATTTTTAGAGAATTAGCAAATTATATTTTTAATTTTGCGGGCAGCTTACGTTAAATTTGATCGACTTTTGTGGTTGGCTGAATTATTGGAATCGGTAAATGATTAAGCTTCTCTGTTAATTTTTTTGCTTTGTTTTCTTTTTGTAACATGAGATTTCTGAACTTCTATTATTTGGTCAGCTAATTTTTTCTTCGGACAGGTGTCACCACCAGGGTTGTTAATTGTGCCACAATCCTGCACAATCACAAGCAAAATCGAAATCGCAATGCTTGCGATTTCGATTTCGCAATTCAAAGTCCCACGTCACAACTTGCGATTTTGATTGTGCATTCCAATTTTTTAAACTTGCGATTTCGCTTTCGATTGCACCAAAAGCAATGCAATCAAAATCGAAATTCTTCCTTTGAAAGTTCTAGGGTATTTGCTGGCAATCTGATCATAAAAATGTTTGCAATTGAAAACAAAATTCTATGTGCATTCCAATTCTGAAAGTTTTTTTCTCAAAGTTCTGCTTTTCTACAAGAGGGGAGTTATCCTCATTAATAATTCATAGAATCCCTTCTTTTTAAGAAAAGGGATTCTATATTTTAGATATTAACAGGTTTTGGGAAATGATCTAGTAGAAGTAGAATGAAACATGAATAACAAGATACACATGAACAACAATCAGTTACAAGACTCCAATTAAAATAATAATATGGTTCATAAAAAAACATGAGTGGGCTACAGGTCAGCTGGGATGGATAGCTTCCAGGGTCCTGGCTGTGGTATGAAACACAACCCTGGAACCCAGAGAAGGTCCTAGCCCCAGAGAGCTGTTGAGTGGAATGATCTTTAGCAAGAAAATTTTATCCCTTTTATACAAGGGTTTCTACCTTTCCCATGAGATTCCAATGAACAGCAAGGATAAATAGAGAGTACTAAGTAGGTTTAATCCCCCAATAGGACTGGAATCCAAGGACTATGATCCAAGGACTCAAGGCTGGGGCAGAAGGGTTGAAAGAAACCCCTGGGACAAAAGGGGTGAAAGGTAACCCCTTCTTTCTAAGCCTTGAATCCTTGGATTCCAGTCCTAATGGTGTATTCAACCTACTTGAAACTCTCTATTTATCCTTGCTGTGTATGGGATTCTCATTGGAAAAGTAGAAACCCTAGGGCTAACATTTTTAGCTAAAGATCACTCTGCTCAACAGATCTCTGGTTTTGGTACTTGCTTTGGTCATAGAATCCCTAGAATTTTTTAAAATGTCTCAATTGGTCAATCATTCCTGCCCTAAAATCTGAGCATGGACATATGATTCTCAGTAGTACCTGATGATATTCCAAGAAGTATGCTCTAATTTCTCTGATTTTGGCATAATTTTCATTCAGCACAGGAATTGTTTTGTGACAGTCAGGGTTTCATTTAAAAACACAATGAAGGGAGATTTGATTCAGGGAAATCTGTGGCACCATGTCAGGGAGGTTTGGCACCAAATTGAGGGTTGAGTGTACTTGAATCAATTTGTGTGCTTGTTGCAGGATAATCTTGATGAATAATGAAGGACATGTCAATTTTTATAATGTGTGTTTGCTGGAGGTATTCACTGGTAAACAAAAATTGGTGGCATATTGGAATTTGACATAACAAAATTTCTCCTCTACTCTGGAATGATTCATTTTTCATACTTTTTAATAGTTTAAACTAGGGAAATTCCATTAGATTTTCATGTTAAGGCCAGCACCAAAAAGTAAGAGTAAAATTCAATTAAAATTGTTGGAGATGAATTTGTAAGATTGTGATAAACTTGCGATTTCGATAGTGAAAAAAATTATAATTTAATTGCGATTTCGATTGTGCAATAATTGCAATGTGTAGAAGTGTTTGCGATTTTGATTGTCCTAAAACTTTTCGAACAAATGGCGATTTCGATTGTGCCACTGAAAATTGGATTGCGATTAACAACCCTGGTCACCACTCACCAGTGCATTAATCTTTCAAGGGTCCCCTGATAAATGCCTTCGGAACTTATAATTTTTCTAAGCTACTTGTAATGCTGCCACGATAAGTAAACTTATCCTGAACTTTCCTTTCTTTTTGATATTATAACCCTCACAATGTAAGTTCTTATATGCAATATGATTCAAATTCCTTACTTATCTTCGACGGATTCAAGGGGGATGACGAGTCCGAACTCCGAAGCGACTCGTCACGCATCAACAGAAACTTGTAATTCCAAGAAAATTCTCTTGCACTTCACGAAATGTATGGTGATTTGAAAGGTCAAATTCAATTAGATTTAACGATGACTCACACTCAGGTCAAAACGAGAATTCCACGAGAGCATTTGATGTTCCACCATCCATCGGCCCCTGACCTGACCTATACGGAAGATACGACTCGCTTCTTAAATAATCAGCATGCTGAAGTTCTCCGACCAATGACGCACCATGTCGCTACGGAAACGAAACATTTTTGCAATTCAACTGAGCAAGGCGTTCAGGTGTCACCGAGTCTCGCGGGAATAGACCCAGTTTCGAATTTCAAATGCGGCTTCGAAGTTTCCACCTCCACCACGTCACTTATGCCGAAAAATGATTACCGAGGCGTTACGGTGACGAAAACAGGAGGTGAAGTCATTCCTAACCATAGGAATGAGCATTTCTATGGAAAAACGTCTGCACATTTGACGAAGTTGAAGGTAACTTGAAAATTTGTTTCGGCTGGCTGAAATGGCTTTCGCGAATTTGGAAAAGGTTCCGGTTCCTCGTGCAAACATGAATTGAATGCGTGCTTAATTTCATTTAAATATTCTATGTATCTTTTATGTAAAGAGGATAAATCTGAAGACATCTGAGCACGTAACTAATTCTGACAGTGATCCGGACGTCACACGACCCCAAAATTTTCCAAAAATTATTTCCGATTCAATCTGCCTGGATTCAGTGAGAAAAAATATTTTAAAAAGTTCAACGTGTGAACTTCCAGCTATTTGTATTTTGAATGTAAATTTCCTGGTCGATCATAGATCATTTCCATGGTAAAACGTCGTCAGTACATTTTTTTGGACAAATTTTAAGGTATTTCATAGCCTTTTTCTGGTTGAATGGCTCTCGCGAATTTTTAAATGGTTCCGGTTCCTCGTGCAAACATGAATTGAATGCACGTCTAATTTCATTTAATTATTCTTAGTATCTATAACCACTAAATTAAGAGGACAAATCCAAAGACATCTGAATGAAAAAAATCTAACTTATTATCCCAGGGATTTCGACGTAACACACTTTCGAAATGCTAGTATAATAAAATTCGCCCTCATCTTCGTGGTAGGATCCAAATTATCTGACCAGGAAATTCAAATTTTGAGTACAAATACGGTGCTGTATCTAGAAACATTTCAATTCAACGTTTTACATTGCATGGTTTTTTGTTCTTACTGTATGCAAATCGATTGAACCGAAAATCATATTGAAACATGAATGAACATTTCAAAGAGCGGGTTTATTTTGAAGAGGAGTTGCAAGTTGTCAATGAAAAGGGGGTTATGTACCAGTAGGACTTACGGGAATCAAAATGGCTAGCTCAAATTGTTTTAAGTTAAGTACAGAAGGTAGTCAGGAGAAGATAAAACGTTACTACGGATTACACACAATTCCAGATTGGGTGCCGCGAAGCAACATTGACCAGAGGAGATTCAGTTGGCGATAAGGTGTGGTGTGAGCAGAAAAAGGTCGTCACTTTGACCATGCCTGGAAAACAAAACTGGATCCTGAATTTCGTGGACAACACGGCACCGTCATGTAATGCCCTCCCGCAATGGGAATTTGAATGCTGCGATCTTTCGGAAATCTTTGATCCACCGCCTTCGTGGTGCCCAGAACCTCCTTCCCCTGCTGAGCCCATCGATCCTGAAATCGGAAGAAAAGACTCGAATTCTCGGAACAACAGCGATGAAATCACCAGTGATCGGTCCAGCTCGGAAATTAAAGATCCCGTAGCAGTGCAGCCGATCATCAACATGTTTTCCGTTGATAAAAGGTAACTGACGGTTTTCATTTCCGTGAATTAACTTGCCGATGGGAAACATATGCCACACAAATATGAAATATACTGCTTTTGCAAATTTAAAGAAGAAAATCGAGTTTAAGAGAAATCTACTATTTAAATACCCTTTATTGCGCAAATTCTAATTATTTAAACACATTTTCTTAGAAGCCACCATATTCATGCACCCCCTTATCCCGATGTTAGAAGCTCGAAAATTAGTGTGCTTTTATGTTTAGTATAGTACTTGATATAAAAAATATTCCCGGATCAATCGACTTGTATTCTGTGAGAACAAAGATTAAGTTATTTATTAGGAATTGTGGACAGTTTTTCCTTTTTTCTGGATTTTTCCTTTTTTCTGGATTTTTTCTGGATTTTTCCTTTTTTCTGTGAATGCAACGTACATTGCATTCACGTTCACCAATTTTGTTCCCGGATGGTGGAATAATGTCATAATTCTGATATTGGAAAAACGTCGTCAAGCACTTAAAAACTAGAATTATTTGTGGAATAAATGGAATAAGGTTAGGTGAGGTCATTAATGGAATACATCTCCGTTGTTCCAATTTCTCAAAGCATTCCCAGGTTTATTTGTGTTTTTTTTTTACTTAGACAAGTGTAGTACACATATTCATCCATAGATAATTCCAGTTGTGAAGCATAGGAAGAGGAAGAGCTTTTCTTTTTTACAAGTTTGTTCCAGCAGGAGAGGCTTGACAACGCTATTACAGTATCAAAATGACAACGTTACTCAAGCCACCAATTTTTTCAGCATTTTAGTCGGTTCTTTCGTCAATTTTACGCTTCCTTGCTTTCTCTTCGAAAACACGTTTCTTCACAAAAAGAAAAGCCGATCGCGTGAAATTTTATTAAATGTTCGCTTCTCTCTTTCTCGCATGATTTTCCGAACTAGATTCTCCGCCGTGCCTACCGGAGATGAGCCGGATGTCAGCTGCAGGAAACCGGAAGCTGGTCGTCCACGTCCAATTCGGTCACAGCCGGAGATTCAGGCTGAGAACCGTCTCCCCACAATGGCGGTTTCCTGGAAATCCCTCTCCAGCCTGTCGAATAAATTCTCTACTAGATGAATACCCAGCACGCCTATACCTCGGAACACGGTCGTTTCCCTGGCAATCCCAAGACACATACACACACATATTTTTCTGCATGTGTTTCTTTTCATGATTCCTGGTGCTGGGTGTTGTTCAGTGCATATAGACGTCGATGATGTTGAAGCAGGACACGCAGGAAATACATCATGATCGTGCGTCGCTCACACAAAACCCTCATCGCCCGAGAAATGTGAAAAGACTCGCCGTTCCGAAAGTCCCAAAAACGAAGAACTTCCAAGTGGACTGTTCACATGCTGAAGACATTAAATGGTTCTTTCTTCGGCAATTTTCCAATGCAGTTTACACTGTACTATTACATTAAAGATGCAATTTTGAACAAAAGCTCTTGCCCTTTGTTTTGCGTCACTCCGGCATTTTTGCGTCCTCACCATGAATGTTCGGTGATGTCGGGATTTTCTTACGCATTCCAAAATTAAACAAATGCTGGTCCAAATATTATTTACTTTACGCATTTTACGTCTTATTTTTGAATATTCGTTTTCCGAAATAAAATACTGTAGTACCACTACTTTTTTTGTAAAATTCTATGCTCTACTGTGCTCAACCTAAGAAGATAATTTTTGTAATTTTCGGTGAAGATCCAATAAAACGCTCACGTAATTGCTCAAACTATCCGTTGGAGCATCCGCATGCCGAATTAAATCTTTCCCAAAGACTTCCATGGAAAACAATTTTCACTATATATACTTCTCAGGTTGCACATAAATTCAAATACGTCCTCCGAAAATCCAATATACATAGGTTTTTCTTAACTTCGATACCTAGGAATTACTGTACCCATATGTCGAAGAAAAACGTAGATTTTAATTTTTTGACTTATGAAAAACTCTGGCCAGAAAGCACCCGAATCTGCACATTGTTGAATAATTCCCAAAAATACGTAAGCAGAAAATTAGCTTGTCTTGGAAGATTGATTTGAGAAAATGTATATTTATTTTGATGAAGTCTATGGGAGCAGCTCCATTTGTTTAAGGGAAATTTACATTTAAAACGCGATATTTTTCATGAAGTCTTAATGCTGCATGTAACTAGAGCCTTTCTGAAGATGATCTCAGGGCAAATTTGTCAATCTTTAAATGGTGCGGCCACACGTTTGATTTTCTGATGTTTGGGCATACATTTGTTTGGGCCGCGAAGTTTACAGAAAAAATTCACTTAAAAAGCCCTCCATTAAATTATCTCAAGGACAGGAAATGATTGCTCGTTTCGGAAGTACCCGTCCTACTTCAAAAATAGAAGACAACACGAAGCAATTGTTACCAAATCAGGCAATATCCATTGCCTGATTGACACATTCTGCGCAAGAATAGAGTGGATTATGAAACATGCATCTACATCATGGCATATCCCAAGAGGAAACGTTCACATCATTCTATAGATAAAATGCGTGGGAGGAAGAATTCCTCAGCTGCGGACAGGTTATCTCAATGCTCTTCCCTATCAATAGTGCTTTTCTTTCATTCGATTTTGCCTTCAATGAGCATGAGCATGAATAAATTGCATATAGACAGTGTTCCTGATGGCCGTGATTGCTATTAGTGAAGGATGCGAAGAAGGTTTATTTCTGTCGCTGGCTCAAACAAAGACAAATAAGGCAGGTGTACAATTCCTTCTTGTGTGGGTTTTAGCCAAAAGTATTGCTAGTCACCGAATTTAAAGAGTGTAGGTGCTTTTATGCGGCTTACTGGCATTATACTACTGTATTCAAGTTATCTTATTGAGAGAAGAGTGGTGATGTACGACGGGTTACACGGTTCCGCGCGGATTAGCTTATGGCTGCTGCTTCAAAATGCAACTGAACATATCAAGGTCTCTTTCAACACATGGATAAAAAGGGCTGAGAAGTGTGTGAAAATTGGTGGTGATAACATTGATAAGGTTTCTGCTCAGCCTCTTGGAACTATAGTGAACATGAGAAAAAGGTTTAAAAGAATCCATGGTGTTCGGATCATTTCAAGTCCGCGCCGCAATACGGTTCCGCGCGGAAAAGTGTAACCTCTTGTATATAGTATTCCGTTCAAGGAAATGAGAGACAATGGGCTTCATTGACGTTTTAGGTGAGACTGACTATATTTCTAAACATTCTAAACAAAATTGCACCAAATTAACCTTTTTCTAAATTAGATAAAATTATTCTTGAGATAGATAAATAAATCAATTGACTTGTTTTCCTAACACGGCGCTGTCATATATCAAATTAAAATCATTACAGCTTTGCAAAAAACAAAGATAGCATAATTCTGAAGCCGCCGAAATAAACGCAATTCATATTACTAGAAATCCATCCCCCGGGTACCCAAATTGAAATGTGACAATCAATTAACATACGGTACATATATGATAAAAGCCAGGCAACTTGTTGGTGAGTATAAGAATAGGGCCAAACATCTAATACAGACTCTGAGGTGGACCAAAATCATATTTAATTTTAAGCAACACTAGTGTAATTTCGATCGGTCTTAATGCAATTGAAACTACAACGTATTATGGATACGTAAATTTATATTCCATGGGCCAACCTATAAACTGAAGGTACAGCATGTTGGTTCATGTATCAGCTGTCAGGTTTCCTTGACAAGCGTATGAAGGCAGGCTGCAGGCGTGGGTTTGAGACGAAGATTTCGAGGGATTTGCTAAAGGAAAGGACAAGTTATATCCAGATGCCCGCCTGGCAAAGGCTTCCAGAGAACCAGATCAGTAGCCAGGGATTCGATCAGCTTATTTTCATGGGAAAAGGTTTATATTATACCACTGGCTCTTCCCCAATAATACGATCTCTGGAATAAGGAGGATAATGTTGAAATGAAATTTATCTTTCTCATAATTTATTTGTTGATTTTTCCAAAGGAACCTATGTATGGAAAGCAACTCACACTTTCTTCTCACTGAATCTGAGCTGTAATTTTAGAGCTTTTAGTCTTCTATATGCGATGACGATGGTCTAATTGCAATTTAAACCGGATCCAGGTTCGTTAATTTGGGGCAATTTCAGTGAAGATTTCCGTAGATCTACGCATAATCACGTCTTGAAGTTGCTCCCGTGAAACACGTTCTGTGTTCAACTGTGCAAGTTAGTGCAAATAAATTCCACAGATTCTCGTGGGAATTCCAGAGGACTAACCGGTTTTCATAGCCAATTCTCAGGAAAGCTGTGCATCGGCACAATTTACTCAAATATTCTTTTGTTCTTCGATTTCATTCTAGTAGGATATTATCTTGCTCGCGGGTATATATATGATTCAAAAAGGATAAAGAACTTGTACTAATTTGAATTCCTGTTGAAATTCATGAATGCATTCCATTTTGTGAGAATTTCAACACATTTTTTAAACTGGCTTTCTTCAGCTGTGAATAAGTGAGTTCGTCACCTCCGACGTGGATTTCTCTACATTCTGGGATTTTCCAGCGTTGGAGTTCAAAGGAATATTTTCGGATTGGAATTGCTGTAACAAAATCTGGACTTGTATTTCTCGCCAAAATGTCCGTGTAAAAAAATAAGCTTATAGCTCGTAGAGCGATGCAAAAATTCCCCAGAATACCATGACTTCCATCAACATTCATGAAATTTACATCGATACAAGGAATTTCGCGCTTTTCTGCAATCGCGGTTTTCAATTCAAGAATAATCATGCTTTCAATATGATATGCAATAAATGATGACCTGACTACTCCAATCGAGTTTTTTGCCAGTGGAAGGCTTGTTGGAAGAAATATTTCAGTAAGATCAGGTTTTTTTTGAAATACGGCTCGAAGAAAAAATAATAATTTCAGGCATGATCTTCGATATACATGCAAGAAAGAGCTTTGTGCAATCCATATGAACCATGTGCTCAAGCAAGATCTTCGATGTCAAAAATGCTTCATCATTCAGATACAACATTTTTCCCTGTTCCCGGGATAGAAACCTCGCCTCCCATAAGGAATATTCCCTTCCTCGAGCGGACTATTTAAATATGTAATGATTGACATGATCCCTTTCGTAACGTGTTCTAAAATTCATAGGTTGGTGTGCTTGCTGTCAGCAATTGCCAGTGGCTATTTCTTTCCGGATCCAAGGCAGGAAGTGCGACACTCGCGTGAAAACGTCCGGGAACCCCGGCAGGGCACACGGGTTTCCGAAAGAGACAACACCCACGACGTAGAAGCGACCATTCCTCGGGTTCTGCCAGATCAGCGGCCCTCCACTGTCACCCTGGTAAGAAGGAATGCCTTGATAAAAAACACGGCTGAAAATCCGATCAGTCATTCAATAACGGATATTCGGAGCCAACTTTTTTCAACCGGTCGTTCGTTGTCAGATGATCCAAATCTATTCAGTGTGTGCTTTTAATTTTTTTTTTCGGAGCTGCACATGAAACATTGATGCCACGCGAACGTATTAGAAAATCAAGCGCTTTTTTTAAGTACATTCGGCGGAAAAATAGTTTTCACAGAACACACATTTTGAGAGCGACTTGAATTCTTATTTACCCAAAAAATATGCTTAGGGCTGTCAATGCTGTAAAAGTCTCATTTTTCCATTGAAAAAGTGGGAAAACAGAAATGAATATTTCTATTTCATTTTTCTAGAGTTGAGTAGGGTTCATGTGAAATCTCGGAGGATTTACGAAATAATCAACGAAATGGTAGGAGTATATTAAAAATAAAAAAATTCCAATTTTTGCGAGTAAATCAGGATTTGTTAAACGTTTACCTTTGAGCTCTGCGGAAACTTTTACGGCAATTGAAATTACATTCAGAAACTTTTCAGTGCTTTTCAAAATAATATCGTTAACGTATATTGAAAAAATATTCGAATACACAGTAATGTCGAATTTCCCAATTTTTTTTTTCATTCGGACGAATCATACGCATTTCACGTCTATTTTCATGATTGACCTATTTTTCTATTTTAATGATTTTCATGCATGCAAAGACACATATTTCAATCCTTTTTCTCCTATTTTGAAGCTAGGTGGTCGAATCTTTTTCTTGGATCGATCGATGAATATTAATGAATCATCTTCAAGGATGGCGAGTGCCCGGTTCAGTCGATTAAGCTCTAAAATTTTATAGAATACTGCAGTATATTCCGGCAAATTGCTTTGTAAGAATGATATATTAGTATTCTGACAAAACAATTTGCCAGGCACAGCAGTCAATCACGAGGTCTTATGTGCACTTACAAAGCAGACACCTTGTCCTCCTTGCGGCCCACCACTGGCACACAGGTGGAATCCTTGAATGAGCAAATGTCCCCAGGGACAAAATGCACTACGACATTCCTCGTCGCTGGTTGCAGTCATCTGAACCTCTTGCAGCTTCGTGGGTCTCGGCTTGCC